AGTTGAGGTCTTGATATGGGCAAAGTTTCACGTCAAAACTTGAAACTTTGATTTAATGGAAAAAATGGGGTCCCATAGAAAAACTATAGTAAAAAGCCGATATCTCAACCAAATCTCAAGTTGGGCACATATCCTCTTAGACTTTTTCTAGTCTATGCATTCCCTACTTGTGGACAAAATTTCAGCTCAAAAGCTTGTTAGCACCTCGGGTAGTTCCCTCGTTAGTCTTTTAATTCAATAAGTAATTTCATTTCTCTCATGTTATTTTTTCCAGCATTAAAATTGTCTGACTTTATTCAACTCGTGATTACTATGATAATAAACTTTTTCTATACTGTTTTAATAAATGCCTGCAGTGATTGTGAGGTTCCATTGTTCAGGACTTCTTATAAACGTAAGATACTTTTAATAGTACCAATCTAAAATAGGCTGGGTCTGACTGCTAATCATAAGGAGATTATTTTATTCAGCATTCTTTCTAGATCATATTTTTCACCTTCCAATAGGTCGAAACCAAGGAAATCGATCATAAAATGGATCAGCTTGAATAGTAGCTGTTGATACATCATCAGTTGTCAACGAGTCCATACTTCGATTTGGTGATGTTGGTGAAACATCAGCTGCATTTGAATACATTTCACGCATTAATTCAAGTCGTTGTCTATTCAAAAAGACAAAGCATCATAGTTTAATTTAAATTTTATTATTTTATTATTTTTCGTTTTTTTTGAAATATTTATAGAAGACAATCACTATGAAAAACACGATGACATGCACAAACCTGGCATTAGTCGAAAAATCAAATTTTCCTTTAATTGTTGGACATGGTGTTGCATCATCAAAACTTGAATTTTGAGAATCATTTCTCATAACAATATGTTGCGATGATGAATCGCTCATATCATTATAACTAATTGCACGTGGTATTGAAATTTGCTCACAATTGTATATATGACGCATGATTTCCAGACGAGATCTATAGATGGTTTTTTTTGTTTTTTTTTTTTTTTATTAAAGATAATCTATTCCTGTCTGACTTGTTTTTTCTTTCCGATATTTTCTTTCAAAAATGTTTTCCTAATTTGTATTAGATTAGAACTTACCGAAATTTTTCTAATGACCAATAATGTACAGCACCATTTTTTAAATCTTGTACTTCAATAGCAACAATTGTATGTTTAGATAATGATAATGATGGATATAAATCAGTTGGTAATGGGGAATAGAGTGTATTAGTTAGAAGAACAAATTGAAATTGAACACGTTTACGTAATTCAACACTTATCGCATTAGCTTCTTTTAAATAAACACTATTGCCCCATAAAAGATCCTAAAATTAGAAAATGTTTTTTTTTGAAATTTTTGAAGAATTACACTACTTGACAAAAGTATCCCCTCCTCGAATCTCAGTCCATACAAGAACTGAACGGCTGAAAATAGGTGCGCAGGTAGCCCATAAAGAATGTGGATCAGCGGCACCATCTACACCACAGGGGCTCGAGTAAGAATGGAGTTCTAATGGATGTCATTGGTATGCATTGTGAACTTGATAACTCGAGAAAGATAAAATATTTTGAGTCGGCCAATCCCTCATTTTGTAGCCCTACCTAGTAGCTATTTGTACTAAAAATTTCATTAAAGTTTATCTATCTATTGATGAACTATGATCATTTTAGTGTAAATATTGATATACCGAAAAACTATATCATACCATTGAGAGATTAATAACTTAGTGATAGTTCAATGAATTCTTCTGAAATTTTCAGAAGATATTCCCCCATCATTGGGTATTGTGTCCTGAAAGTTTCAGAAGCAAATCTCTTACTAATGAAAAATGGTATGTGAATGGTTGTTGAGTTCTTGTCAAGTCTCTAGACTCTCTATAACTCGAGTGAATGGCCTTATCTTTTGACTACAGAAAGAGCATAGGTTGGGCTTCAATTCTGTGCTAAAATATCGATAATTACTTGTGTATTTGCTAAAGAACAATGCTTACTTTAATAAGTCCTTTTTTTACTCATTTTCTGTCAGTATCAGTGAACATTGTCCTATGTTCATCTATTATTGGCTAGGTATATTAAAGTGACTTGAAAGTTTTGGAAAGCATCCTCACCGTGTCTGGCTGCATTAGAGGACGACATTTTCACTTTGAAGTTGTTGATAAGTATAATAAAATTAATCATAGGTATATTGAAGCGTACTATTTTCAAATAGCCAATGGCTTGCACTCATGCTGACAAAAATGGGTAAAAAAGAACTTATTAAAGTAAGCATTGTTTTTTAGCAAATACACAAGTAATTGTCGATATTTTAGCACAGAATTGAAGCCCAACCTATGCTCTTTCTCTAGTCAAAAGATGAGGCCATTTGCTCGAGTTATAGAGAGTCTAGAGGCTTGACAAGAACTCAACAACCATTCACATACCATTTTTTCATTAGTAAGAGATTTGCTTCTGAAACTTTCGGGACACAATACCCAATGATGG